GTAGATATTTTTCACGATCATACATGTCATCACCAAGCAACGTTCCCCCCATATTACGGAGCAAGGTAGAGCAGTAGTTAATAGAAAGAGCAAGGACCCACACGGTCGGGGTAAAATGGCGCGAGGCTGTCATGACACACGTTTACCACAACCACATATTTGTTGGCTATTACGTCAAGCATATGTATCTAGCATATCTTGGAATCCCAAGGGTTTGGAACACAAAATATTGTATCAGTGCGAGGGTACTAGAATACTCGTACATGTAAGTACGTGGATCGATGATCATGATATCAATCACTGGACTGTCTGGTCCAGACTCGATTTTTTACAGACCCCCGTCATATAGCTGGAATAGTGCTGAGTGCGGCGTTAAACAACAAACAAATCTTGCTTAAGGCATTGAATGCTTAGCCTCCGCAACCATGTGTAAATTCCATGCATGTCGGATCGGGTGCTCAAAATTTCAAATGAGTTTGAATAGACTTTGAAGACAAGCAAGAACTGCAACCATAGTACGTGTGGTTTTGGGTACACTAGTTTGTCTTCCATCATTGAATAATATACATATCGAATCAATGAATGGCTTCTATTTCTGAATGTGCCCAATTAGAAGAAAAACATGCATAGCACCCCATAATCGGTTATGTTTTGGACATTCAAGATTCACAACAATCTTCTTTGTCACACACCTGTGGTCAGAAACCCATTTGAGATAACTGGTATCAAACATGTGTGAGATCGAATTCCAGGCCCGTGGTTGTGGACTGAATGGTGATGACCTGAGGTCAGATCATGACGGACTACGTTCCTGGTCGATAATCATTGATAATTTACTCGTGCTTCTGTCGAATTATTATCTACGTGTGGTAAACATTATGTTTTGAGAGTATTAACCCCGGATGCCACATATATGTCCCTCCTCATCAACCTTTACTTCGAAGTCGAATAAAGTTCAAAATACATCAGGCACACTAATATACTTCACAGTTTGGAATTCTGAGGGAAATTCACTTTTCTGTGATATCATCCACTGTCACATCAGGCAAATCACAATTACTGAAAGTGACCTCTGAAAATCTGTGACTCTGATACATCGTAAATCTCGTCATTTTTTTATACATTACTAAATCACCATTCACGGCGTTAATTGTTTACTGCTTGTTTAGAAATCTAAAGAAAAGATCGGATATTTACTCGAAGAATCGAATATAAATAATAGCATATCAGTGATCGCGGTTAGATATCTATCTTTTTTTCATGAAATACACCAATCATACTCTGAAACGTCGCCGATAAGCCTAGAATATACATTACAATGACCAGGTAAATTCAACAGAAATCGTAAAAGTTTCCGTCCTGTGTGACGCAACGAACAACGCACAATCACGCACAACGACACGGTATTTTCTCAAAATTGATCTTGCTTACATTGAAAAACATAAATAAAAATAACAGTACGCAGATTGTCTGATTGTTTCTGATTATTTACATGACATATTTATATGCTAGTATATGCGACCCCTTAATCAACGTAAATCCTCAGAAAATCCCGCGTACTGTTGTCAGTGAACGCGCCATTTTGTCAAGGTCTTGTCACCGGTAGTGATGTCATATTAAAAAACAAACATTCTGGTACATATTTGGAAATTTCTTTGAGGTGAACATTATTAACTCGGCATCCAGCGTGTTCTTTGATCTTATCTAGCTTCCAATATCATCATCGCGTTGCTAAGATATGGCGGAAACTTTTTTTTTGTGGTCAAATTATTTATGAGCAGTAAGCAGTACGTCGGATGATGTCACTCATGACGGTTGTGTTGTGTATTAATGCGCCACTGCGATCATGAGAATAGATAAAATGCATCGATTCGATGCTCAAAAGGTGAGATTTTAGGGTGTTTAAGAAACAGATTTCTGTACTCGTACCTATCAGATACCATTGATCTCACAGCTCTTTGTTTCAAAGCTTATCTACATTTTGAAACAACTCGTAAAATAAATGGTATTCAACAGACATTTGTGCAATAATCACTATTTATGTTCGCTAAATGACTGAAATATTGTTCAATCTCTAGCAAAAATGTAATCGTGTAAATTAAGCCCTTCCCAACACATTACTCGATACATTATGACATTGACTACATTCAGATAAAGAAGAGGGATTCTAACGTCATTTGAATTTGTAACGAGGCTTGACCAATTCGTCACCACTCGCCCCTTTCCGTAAACTGCAAGAAGACTCGTCCCCCTATCGATGAATGTTATCTATGAAAATACGACAAAACAATCAGAATGCTCGTATGATTTCAAGTTGTTCGTCAAAGAATCCCTAGAAATTATTTTTGATTTTACATGTTTTTTATCTAAAAATATACCCAAGACACAGTTAAATGTGTTCAATCATACTGTATACTTCCGCATGTCCCGATGTGCTTTAATTTGCATCTGAAATATATAAAATAGGTGGGGAAATATATGTGAACCATTACGCAACGAGTTGACAATTGTTTTGGGTATGCCCGTTTTGCTCTAAGAAGGAACCTGGTCGCATAAATGGACACGAGAGGGGCACGATCGCTATTCGGCTTGTCCCGGAATAACACGAGTTGGTCACGAATGAGCTTGACCCTCAACCTGTAGCCTAGTGGTTGAAGCGTCCGCTCGTCACGCCGAAGACCCGGGTTCGATTCCCCTCATGAGTACAATGTGTGAAGCCCATTTCTGGTGTCACCTGTTGTGATATTGCTTGAATATTGACAAAGCGGCGTAAAACCAAACTCACTCGCTCACTTAGTGAATACAGACGTAATCGCCTCATTCCCCTTGTCCGTGAATGTCAAATGTCAACGTCTTTGTTTTTAAAACATATTTATTCACAAGGAGTGAACGGGATTGGGGGACAAGTTCTTCCAACTTAGAATGCCCTCTCCCTGGTATTTAAAAAATATTCACAATTTCAAATTCAATATATATGCATAAAACGTAAAACACTATAGATGAGAGAGAGAGAGAGAGAGAGCGAGAGAGAGAGAGAGAGAGAGAGAGAGAGAGAGAGAGAGAGACATTGTTGAATGAACAGTTCTTTACACGAATCTTTTAGTTGTACATATATAATGTTGTACTGCCTTAAATATAGCTTCATTTTCTGTAACAACGTGATCTGCATTGCCGTGTAACAGTAAGTGTACATCAATAGGTATGTTATGAACAATATTTTTAAGGCTGTTTAACATAATTTCACGCTGATGACTAAACAATGGACATTCCATGAGATAATGATATGCATTTTTCACATGTATTCGAACATGTACAGTTCGGGTGATCTTTTATACCAATTCTATATAAATCATAATTCAACTGACTGCACATGTATCTCAGTTTTGTGTGTAAGATATTATATTTTCTTTTTTCCATAAGCGAAGTACGCAGGTGACGTGGGGTGGTGCTTTTGTAGCGAATTTTTAAAACAAGAAATCGTAGAATTTCGATCTGATAACGGAATAGAGTTCCACAATCGGATAGACGATGGGTAAAAGGATTCACATGAATGTCTTAGCCTTGTGAGAGGAACACTGATGTTTTCAGAGTTTCTGACGCATATTTGTTACGTCTTTGTTACGTTTGTGTGACACAATTGTACAATGTTAACCCTTTTGTTCTCATTGTCCATTTCAGACGTTGAAAATAGTTATCAAGCCAAGACATCAACAAATTCTTATCACCATAACAAGATATTATTCATAATACTTTCAAACTAATCATATCTGTTCATGTTATAGATTTCATTTTGATTGAGACATCAAACAGTTTCTAGCACGCTAGTTACAAATCAATTATATGAACTCATTTATTTTGTCTTTTAACATTTAAAGGGCTCAAACGAATTAGGAAATGTGGGCTTCAATAAAAGGAGAAAACGTAACATTGGCATCATCCTGTCAGAGGAGTATCACGTGGCTTCTGTTTGACTGCCACGCGACCATATATCACGAAGGCGGGGGACGTGAAAAGTGACTTTTCTCGTAAATAATATATTTTGGTTTGTAACTTTGAAACCCAATTAGTAGAGAACAATAGCAGTGTAAGTTGTGGTGGGTTTGATGTTCTGTTAGTGCTGCTGCGGTATTATCACAGCTGTGGTCACCACGAATAGGCTACACATACCCCATACGGTATGTTTGGGAATCGAACCTGGTGGATAACGTCACGGGCGAACGCGTGCACTACTTGGCTAACTAATCGACACTCAAAGTGCCATTTGGCTGTCGATTAATGAGATTTGTTTGATATACCGTGTTGACTCGGAACACTTAAAACATTCGTTCTTCAAGTTGATGGTGAATAAAGGAAACTCTGGGACATTGGTATACCCTTTATGGTGAAGTGTTTGCTCCTGAGGATGATGTCTAAGGTGTGGATGCACCATATGGTTGCAATTTGTAGACACCCGTTCTCGTTCACATTAGAGGCACAATACTATAGGCGAAAGAATCACTGGTAAATTCACGCAGGTGTAACACATTTCACTCTGACCACGTCAGATGGAGCTCACTTTGGTGCATTCCCACAATATATGAATTACATCAATTTATGTTCTATAGCGCAACCTAGCGATAAACCTAACGCAGATCAAAGCCCGTGCATTTTTTTAATAGCCTTGTTATGAAAGCGTTTTTTGCTCTCCAGGATGAGGACCAAGGTTTCCATGCACCATATGGTTCAATTTGTTGAAAGCTGTCCCTGTGGTCCCCGGTCGTGTTAGTGGTGCAATACTGTAGGCGAAAGTCACACACGAAATGTAACACGTTTCACACACACCACACAGACCACAGCAAACCGTTGACGGTTACAAGAAGGATTTTGTTTATTTGTCCTTCATGTACATCCTTTTTGTTGTTGTTCGATGTCATTGCGGTAAACCTGATGCAGATCTCTTGATGTGAATTATGATTCTGAAGCAAAACCCGTGAATTTATTGAAATATCTTTTATGTTCAGAATGGAACGACACAGACCCCATGCCAGTGATGGTGTTCGTCCATGGAGAGTCATATGAAACCGGAACCGGAAATGCGTACGACGGAAGTGTTTTATCAAGTTATGGTGACGTCATAGTCGTCACCCTCAATTACAGACTGGGCGTTCTTGGTAAGTGATTTCTTATCTTGGTTTGTTATCTTGAGATATCTGTTTTGTACATGCAACAGTTGAGTGAGGTACTTTCCATAGCTAAGTTCCTACCTCCATATATATTTTGTCGTTTGAAGACACCGGGGAATATGTTACACGCCCAGAGGGAATTACAGCAATAGAGGATATTTGATTCTTTTATTAATGGAGACATATGGTGTTTGGTCTTAAATATGGATTATTAGTTCGCTTTCGTCCTGTAAATATCATATATCAGGAACATAAAATGGTGAGCATTAATACATGTTTTCTTTGTTCTTGAGTTTGTTGTGTATGGCACGGACATACGGATATACACGAGCCTAAAATAAATCTTTATCATACATGTTATTTTAAAGTTAATAACGCGGGTTTCAATCTTTAGCAGAAACATTTAATGACCATTTTGTCAGCAGAAAAAAACACGCGTACATATCACAACGTGCAGGAGCTATTAATAAAACATTTTTTGGAACGTCACTAAAAGGCATTCGTTTATTGAGCAACTTGGCATTGCAGTGTTGTAGTGAGCTATTTCAAAGTATTTTTTGCTCGGTGATCTCATTTGTATTTTTGTCGGATCGGTTTATGACATCAATAATGCTGTCCGTTATATGATAAAAATAGGGTATCAAGGTCACGATGACCTTTCAGGGTAAATATAGTCGTGTTGCCTACATAATTCAGGACTTGCAAATGCTCTCTTTACCATGGAGGGTAGCGTAGTGGATCGAGCGTCTGTCCGAAGAGGAAGGACAGGTCGGCTCGGAGTGTGAGTTTACTGTCTGAGTGGGGTATTCATGATACACTGCAGCAGGGCGTCTCAGTGGACCGACACTGTAAACACTGACTAGCACACACACACACGCACGCACGCACGCACACGCACACACACACACACACACACACACACACACACACACACAGATATGCGTTATGTGTATCATGTCCACGCCCTCATTGTGGAGTGAGTGAGTTGGGTTTAACGCCGCTTTTAACAGTATTCCAGTTATATCGCGGCGTGTCAGCTTAATGTTGTAGGAAAGCCCGAAGTGATGCAGGTCTCAGACGTTTACCACTTCGGTGAAACCCACGAGCACGGGTATGGTGCTGACAAACCTAGAAACATAATCGGGCGAACCGGGATTCGAACCCACGATCATAGGTATCTGGCGTGCCCAAGGGACGCAACTCTGCACAGCGAATCGCGGCGCCTTAGACGTCTGGGCCATCCGTGCTAACCGTGCTAAGTAGCTAACCGCTGCCCTTGACGAAGACATTTCTACCCACACCTATGAAACATAAGCATCCTGTTGTTTTCAATGCAGACTTGGGTTACTTAAGATATGATGCCGTTATTTGACCCTACAGTGACCAGCACAATTTGTAGTGTGTGAATGCCTTAAGTGAAGGGGGGGGGGGGGGGGGGGGGGGGGGGGGGTTGGGATGTCATGGTCATGGTGTGGATTATAAAGAACTGTTTCCAATAGGATCTAGGAATTCGTAATTTCCTGAAATGAAGGAACAGGTGATGATAGCTGACGGATAGGTTTGCAATGTTATATTGATACGTGTTCACCTAGAAAAGATTTTGGAGGCTTCATGCGTCCCAATTGCGTGGATCGATGCTCATGATGTCAATCATTGGATTGTCTCGTCCAGACTCTATTATTTACAGACCGCCGTCATATAGCCGGAATATTGCTGAGTGCGGCGTTAAACAACAAACAAACAAGCTACCTTCGTCACGTCGGATACATTAATCTGTCAAGACCCCCTCGGTGTAAGGAGACTGTATCCTCTTGTAACTGAAAAAAATACCTACTTGTCTTTCTTCAGCAGGGACAGGCTGCGGAGAACAAATTGTGTTTCAACAAATGATTCAGATAAAGAACACTGCCTAAAGCGCTAATCAGCATGTTGATTTAAGCTCTGCTTTTCATCATGTAATGCGAATGAATTTATCATTTGCATATCGTGCCTCAGGCTCTTCCTGTTTTGCCCTGACACAAGAGTGATTTGATCTTGGCATGCCACTTAGGCAATTTCACCAGCATTGCTGGAGCAGTGTTTGTACAATATGCCGAAATAATGTTTACGTAAATGGTTATAACGATTTACTTGGAATAATAGCCAATGTCAGAACCAAGAGAAATACGACTACAGTTCAAATGGGCTGGGTTAGCCAATTTCTATGAGAGCCCTTTGGCGCAGTCGGTCATAATTGATAAAGTTTAGCGTTGTGAGCAGTTCGTGAATTCGAGCGGTAGAAAAATATCCGCTCAGAATTATCCTTGTGCTTTCTTTGCAACCGAACTGAGACCAACCGTCTTCATGAGACAATTGCCAGGAATATCTTCATAATTCCGCCTTGGGAACAAAGGTCCGAGCCAGAAAACTATCGATGGGACTCGACGAATATAAAAACACTTCCCTCGGGCCGAAGACGTCGGGATAAGAAGGGAAATAGTATTAAAGATAGGTTGGAAAGATGTTGCCAAACAATTGAGCACGTTCCTGGGACCGTTTGCAAGTTCCAAGTCAAGAAATGAAAAGGCCAAACGCGCACTGCGAACAAGAGTCCATAGCCGAAGGCTCTTAGACCCGCAGATGCAATTTTATTCATAGATTCCAGGACTCGCGTAGGTTCGAGTTTTATTGGGGGAAAAGTAGAGGTGATAGCTGTACCTCTGAGCGAAAACATTAAAGTGCGTTTCCGATACTGTGTGTTGAATGTCTGACCTCGACGTATGGGCAGCTCCGGAAAGGAAATGTATTGAGTCTTTGACCCTTTGGGTGATATCAAGAATCGAGGGTTTTTTGGGCGGATTTTTTTGCTTTTGATGAAGATGCAAGTATTGCGCATGTATGTTTTCTTTCGCTTCTTCCCCGTATCACAGGCCAACTTAATATTGTGCAAATACAGGGGGTTAATATATTCATATGCAGTGGAATCGCGTTAATGACTTCGTCGTTACAGTCTTACATTGTCATTGCGGATAACTCGAAGTCGTTTTGTATTGTCACTACGGGTACCTCAATGTGTTCGAGTTAATGGGGTTCAACTGTATTCGTAATACCGGTAATTGACTGAATACTGATGCAACAAATAAAGATACCTTGTAAGAATTTATGACATGGATAATTATGTGTATTACAAAATATCCTGATATGACGAACAACGACGTCCTGTTCTGTCGTTAGGTCAGATCGATATATCCAAAGCTCGTTATTCAGCTTGGAAATAACGTTATTTTTCCGCTATTAAGGCTGCAAATGTAATTTGTTATAACCGAGTATTCGTTACATGCGACATCAGTATATCCGGACGAGTTACAAAACGAAAGCACATATCACTGATAGCGTAACCTTGTAGAGACCACATGACGTCGTCATTACATCCACGTTCCCCCGTGTTAATGTTCTCGTCCTGGCACACTACCAAGGTAGAACTTACAAAAACAGGTTTATTGCCCCCACGTGACAAATTGTGAAAGAAAACCTCAATTAGATATGCAGTAAGAAACCAGCATTGGCATTAATTAGGTGGTAAATAATTTTTATGTTTGGATGCCATATTTTGCTCATATTTCTGTTGCTTAGCAGTGTTGTGTAATGTCCTTAACGACTCCCAGGAGGACGAGTGATTCATTTACTCTCCTTATGTACGGGTGGTTCATAACAACAACGCGTGTTCTTTATTTATAATGGGACATGTACGAGTGTATGTGAAATGTGTGTGTCAGTTTCGGATTGTATATGCTAATAGACACACTTAGCTGATGATATCATTATTTTTCATATTGTGGTATTTAAGAAGCTGATAATAATACTTATCGTCCTAATAATACTCCCCTCATCCATGATAGTGAGTGAGTTGGGTTATACAGTATCCGTTCGGTTCGAACAGTATACCAGTTCAATCACGGCGGGACGAAAGTGACGCAGGTCTTAGACGTTTACTACGTTGGTGAAAGCCACGAGCACTGGAAACTGGAAACATAATCATTGTGAACCGGCTTTCGAATCGACGATCATGTTACAGGCAGGCCTAACCCCGCGTATCAAGGATATTGTTTTACTATGCATAGTGTCGTGTTGTTTCAAGTATTTGTATTATCATACATCTTCCATGTAGCATCCGGTATGAACCAGATATACCGTTCTTTACTTTACATCAGTAATCATGCCAACAGTGCTCTCACTAGTTGTCCCACAAATGTCAACCCTTCATATTTCAGGTTTCTTTTTACTTGACATCAGTAAACATGCCAACAGTGCTCTCACTAGTTGTCCCACAAATGTCAACTCTTCATATTTCAGGTTTCTTTTTACTTGACATCAGTAAATATGTCCACAGCGCTCTCACTAGTTGTCCAATAAATGTCAACCCTTCATATTTCAGGTTTCTTTTCACTTGACATCAGTAAATATGTCCACAGCGCTCTCACTAGTTGTCCAATAAATGTCAACCCTTCATATTTCAGGTTTCTTTTCACTTGACATCAGTAAATATGTCCACAGTGCTCTGAGCTAGTTGTCCCACAAATGTCAACCCTTCATATTTCAGGTTTCTTTTCACTTGACGTCAGTAAACATGTCCACAGCGCTCTCACTATAGTTGTCCCACAAATGTCAACTCTTCATATTTCAGGTTTCTCTTCACTTGACATCAGTAAACATATCCACAGTGCTCTCACTAGTTGTCCCACAAATGTCAACCCTTCATATTTCAGGTTTCTCTTCACTTGACATCAGTAAACATATCCACAGTGCTCTCACTAGTTGTCCCACAAATGTCAACCCTTCATATTTCAGGTTTCTCTTCACTTGACATCAGTAAACATATCCACAGTGCTCTCACTAGTTGTCCCACAAATGTCAACTCTTCATATTTCAGGTTTCTCTTCACTTGACGTCAGTAAACATGTCCACAGTGCTCTGAGCTAGTTGTCCCACAAATGTCAACCCTTCATTTCATTTCAGGTTTCTTGACGACAGGAAACCAGGCTGCAATGGGGAACTACGCCCTTCTGGACATCACACAGGCTTTGCACTGGCTTCGGGAAAACATCGCCAGTTTTACTGGTGATCCTCAGCGGGTGACATTGTTTGGTCACGGCCATGGGGCCGCTCTCGTCAACCTGCTGATGTTGTCGCCATTTGCGTCAGGTGGGATACGGTTTGACGGCTTCAGCTTTTACGGTTGTTTAGTATGCACGCACACATATAAACCACATACAGATGTATGCCTCTGTATGCCTCTGTATGCCTCTGTAAGCCTCAGATGAATGTCTTCCACAGTTATACTATAGCAATCACTCTCCACTCACAATGTATGTACTCAATACCGTGGCATGGCAGATGACAATCACATGGGAAATCGACTACGGTCTTCTTGTTTATATTTAATTACCATTGTCTAAAAACGCAAGCATATAAGACTATAAGCAACGGCATGTTTTTTATTGACCTTCCATGTTGGTTTGGATAAAATACCAGACGTCTTCACGCATTTCGCCATATAAGCATGTCATCGTGATAGAGTTGTGAAATATTTATATATAGATATTCATTGTATGATCTTCGGTTGTACTAACTGGAAATACAATACGGTAATGAATACAATCGGTTTATAATTCCATATGAAACTATATATTTTGCGGAAATATCAAACGGGTTGGATATATCGAGACGGAATGTTTTCGGTCAAATCTTCAAAATGTTCGATTTTACATTCTTTAACCGAGGGAGCCGAACAGTAATTTTTCACAGCACATCCATCATGTCCGGCGATCAAAATAATGTTGTAGGGTAAAGTCTGGGGACAAATTAGTTTTTGTCATTTTCTTCTGGAATAAATTATTCATGACACTATTTTATGGATTGTAACTTCTTTCATTCTTTGTCACGACGTTTCAGAGCTACTTCTTGCTCTTTCATCACGTGAATGCTCTGAAACGTCGTGACAAAGAATAAAAAGAAGATGCTATCCATAAAAAGTGTGATGTATTCATGTTCTCCCAATTTCCATGTCAAAGACAACAACTTATTCTTGTTTATGTAGATTACTTAACTGAAACGCGGTATTGATGACTCTTCTTCTTTACTCTTCAGAGGCAAATGATTTGTGTATTGTGCGTGTTGGTAACGTAACCCTAGATTCTCAATAACTCTAGACACAATAGCAACATGACACCTATCGCTGCGTTACTACCAGTAGCAGATGCCTAAAGAAATTAACATATGCAGATCATTATATTTTCATTGTGAAGTTATCGATGCCACACAGAACAACATGAAACGTTAGTGACATTTACAAATCGTAATCCTACTGGGTTACCTATAACGATCATCATGAAGATTGGGGTTAGCTGCTCAAATCTTATCAATAATCTTATCAAGTTTATAATTTGTTTACTTTGGTAAAATTGTTTATGTTAATATTTATATTGATATCAATAACGAAAGTGATTTTTTTTACACAGATACACAACCCATGCTTTTCGAAAGAACACTTGAGCATTAATCTTCAGTTACCTAGCTGTGTTTGTCTTATGGGCGACTAAGGGGATCGGGTGGTCAGGCTCCCTAACTTTTTGGATGCATGGAATCGTATTCCTTTTGCGTAGATAGATGTTCATGGTATGAATCATTGGATTATCTGGTTCAGACTCTATTGTATACAGACTGCCGTCATATAGCTGGAAGATTGCTGAGTGCGGTGGTACAACAGCAAACGAACAAACGTACAATGAAATGAAGGATAAACTATTCAGTTTCTGTACTTGTGAACATCAAAATCAAAAAGTGAAATCTATATTAGGATACATGTAAGAAAATACAGCAGTGATACAGATAAACATATGTAACTCATCACATTCAATTAGCGTTACAAAATGTGTATGTTTTATTTTGTTTAGGCCCATTTGAACTTTAACACACATCAGAATCAGTGAATTAATACAGTGAAACCATAGGCTACGGGTTTCGGCCATGTTTAATCTACATCAATCCATACAATGCTTCTTGCAACATCGTTCATCTATTGACGTCCTCCTAAATTAGCAAAGTGCGTGGCCTTCCGAGCTGAAGAAGTGATGAGAGTAACACATGATGACAAACTGTCAGAATTCATAGACTCCAGAGTCTCCCACAATTTGTTTCGGATTCCTGACTACTGTAACGTATCCATCGGAGGTCCAACATATTTTCACTGAGTGTTGCCTTAGCTTTCTATTGAACTTGCGATTGTTTTAACATTTTTTAAATCCAAGTGGTCAGATTTAATCTTGTTAGAATCCCAAAGGGCCAGATCGTACACCCCCAGAACATTTGCATGTACAACGTTCTTAATGTGAATTAGTGTGATACCCAAAACAATGTATCCTGGAAATTAGGATGATTTTTTGACGTGTCCGTCATCATCGCAGAATATGCCGAATCCAGTTCGTCTCAGGGGTTAATCAAATGCAATTTGTTCGAATTAACGTCAACTACTTGGTACCTTCTTGATCAAATATTTAAAATCAGGACACGCGTATGGGAATGTATCTGTTATCTTCTATATACATTTGGGGAGGTGGAGTAGCCTCGTGGTTTAAGCGTCACGCTGAAGACTCGGGTTCGATTCCCCACATGAGAACAAAGTGTCCCCCGCCGTGACATTGCTGAAAGATTGCTAAAAGCGGCGCAAAATCATACTCACTCAATATACATTTCTCTGAAATAAAAAGAATTGAAGTCAAAATAGCTACTTTAATTTGACAATAATTTACATAATGGTTCTGAAATATATAACCCTTTTTGCTTCGATTATAAACTTCTGAACATCCGATTGACGACACATATACCTTATCCCACAACGACAGACGTTAGCAATCCCACCCAAGCCATAAGCATTCCTACATCTGTTAAGAAAAGGATAACATTTGCTTTGTCAATGCTGCAACTTACTTCAATCAAAATACTGATGGGAAACGCACCACACACTTACACCTTACAATATACATGTTGTTCTATTCACGTTGTAAGGGAACAATGTATATGTTGTACGACATTTTATCCAAATCGATACATGACAGTCTGGATATTGAGCTTGTCTATAGAAATGTATTATGCTGAAGGCTGTTATTGTGAATGTTATTTTCTCGTCTATATATGCTCAATATGTATCTGTATGAACATGTAATTCGCTCTCGAGAGACATGATATCCTTAAGAGAATTATGATTCGCGTGTATGATCTAACATGAGCATGCTTAAGAGGTTTAACTGATATTTTAGTATATCTAACGTGGCATATTCTGGCATTAAGTCGTGATGAATACATTGTCCACTTTGTAACATCATGTTATTTGCTAATATCACATTATGATCAATCACAATCAAATTAAATATACAGTTTATATTTGATGGAACCAGCGTCCTGACATCCTCACGCTTACATCAATGACAATGCCACGACTCTGGTGTATACCCATTATCCAAAGTCCGTTTCCGTTACGGAGTAAATGAACACTTTCAGTATCTCATCTATTTCTCTGTCACTTTCAAACGTCTGGCCTGTTCGTCATTACACACAATGAGGAAAATAACACCATTAGACGGATGCATTTACGTCAAACCTGTTTTAATACCTGACCATGATTCTCAAAAAAGTTCGTCAATATATTCGCAGGTGTTGAGTCGCATAGTTGCCTCTAGATGTGTCCGTATGGCTTTTGCCACAGCTGGACGACATCACATAGCAACATATTTTAATTCCATAACATGATCTCGTAGCAAAATCATATTGTTTGTAATCTGAATGTCATTTGATATTGAACAGTGAAGCCTTGTATTTTTCTTTTTCCACTGACACAGCTAATAGACACGGAGTATGGCTTTGGAATGATGCTGGCATAAAACCGTAGTGTGTTATTAAACTGGACAGGTGATAGTGTTGCCAACGTAACAGGGTGTTTCAGCCATTATCGTTTCTGTCTTATGTACATTTTAGACGAAACACTTCAGACTGCTTTCTCAAACCTGCTTTAACTAATTTATCCCTGTAAGTAGGTATTTCCACTGTCTGCAGAGTATCTGTAACAGAAATGTCCCAGAGCATATGTAACAAAAGTATGTCACAGACCATATGTAACAGAAGTGTCACATGGCATATGCAACAGCAGTGTCCCATAGCATATGTAACAGCAGTGTCCCATAGCATATGTAACAGCCGTGTACCAGAGCATATGTAACACAAGTATGTCACAGACCATATGTAACAGCAGTGTCACAGAGCATATGTGACAGCAGTGTCCCAGAGCATATGTAACAGAAGTGCCACAGAGCATATGTAATAGCAGTGTCCAAGAGCGTATGTAACAACAGTGTCACGGAGCATATGTAACAGAAGTGTCACAGAGCATATTTAACAGCAGTGTCCAAGAGCATATGTAACAGAAGTGTCACAGAGCATATGTAACAGCAGTGTCCCAGAGCATATGTAACAGCAGTGTCCCAGAGCATATGTAACAGCAGCGTCCCAGAGCATATGTAACAGAATTGTCACAGAGGATATGTAACAGCAGTGTCCAAGAGCGTATGTAATAAAAGTATGTCATAGACCATATGTAACAGAAGTGCCACAGAGCATATGTAACGGAAGGTTGCCCATGTTCTCGAAATCATAATGTTTTTCATAATACTTCACATTATACAAATTATGCTGGTGTGTACCTTACATTCGTACGCTAAATCCAAGTCCAAAAGCGCAGATCCTCCAGCAAAAATGACCCATACTCTAACATTACCTTGTGATAATAATTTGAGCGGTACATGCTGCTACAGCTCACACAATTTGTAATACGTGTTCTGAAAAGATTCCTAGGTTAAAAGATTACTCGTTGACATTTCCTATCACAGAGTACAACTTTTGCTTTCCTAACCAAACGCCTTCCTACATCTTAGGCCAGACCTGCTTCATGTTAGCGTTCGAAGACTACGAAGTAATGCTTATGTCCTCAAACTAACATGTTCCTTCTGTCAGACGACGAATCATTGGCATTACCTTCAAAGAACGCATGTCCCAAAAATTATTTGTTCCCCCAAATTAGATTAGATTAGACTTAACCCCTCACCGAGTGTGCATGCATACATGCCCCGTTACGCCATTCCATGGAACTATCAGTCTACCTGCAGCATTTCTATTCCAGAGGGTCGTGGTCCGTTCTTCCAAAGAGCCATCATTCAAAGTGGCTCTGCATTGAGCACCTGGGCCGTGTCCTACGACCCTGTTTGGTGCACCCAAAAACTTGCCATCAATGTCAACTGTAGTCGGTTCATCGGCGATTCTCAAAAGCTCATCAAATGCCTAAGGGAACGTACGTACGAGGAACTTGTAAATGCTGTTCCCAAGGCACCGAAGTATTATTCGTGTTTTGCTCCATCTGTGGATGGGTGGTCGGTGCTTCCAAAGAAGGTGATGGAGATGATTAATGAGAAGAAGATGAAATTCGCTTCAGCCAAGGTGATGTTTGGCATTACCAAGAACGAAGCGTACTCCTACCTAAAACAACAAGAGATCAAAAAGGGGATATCCGAATTCCGAAAAACGCAAATAATCAGGACTTATGTCCAAAATGTGTTCCGATACCACAGACAGAAAATATTTGAGATTCTCGATCACCATTATACAGACTGGAACCGGATATCAGACAAACTCTCCAAGAGAAACAATATTATGGATCTGCTAAGTGACGGGCAATATGTTGCACCATTGATGGAAACGGCTCAGAAACATGCCGAAACAGCAGACACTTATCTATATGCATTTACGTACTCTACCCAGTCAGAGAATTCGCAGGATGTACATGGTATCCATGGTGATGAACTGCCATATGTTTTTGGTGCTCCTATTGTTGATGGATTGTCTCCCTTTCCCTCCACTTACACCAGCGCAGAGAAGATGCTGAGTGAGGCTGTTATGACGTATTGGACGAATTTTGCCAAAACAGGGTGAGTGTAATTAATAGTTGACTCTTCTGTTTACAGGAGGACCTTGGATTGTTGTTCCAGTAAACGTATTAATCCGGCATTTTTTCAGACGATCACTAGTATTTAGCTCATGTGGACGCTAGCTTATGCCCGTCATGTAAACTTTATCAGCGAAGTAACTAACGAAATAAAACTCAGATTTGTTCATTGTATGTTTATCTCAATATTAGATGTTTTAATGTCTTATAATAAGCCAAACCTTCCAATTGTGAAATCTGTTTATGAATGTTCTAAGAAACTAAAACTGTGATTGTTTCTAAAATCTATTATGAAAATATTATTAGGAGCAACCCGATACAGAAAGAGAAAAAACTTTTTATAGTTGTTATACAGAATATTAATCCCATCGCACAAGAAGACAAGAATACCCTGGCAGTGTTTGAATGGATATAAGACAATATTGATGTAGCAGTGTTTGAATGGATATAAGACAATATTGATGTAGCTGAAGATAAATGTTGTTTGTCCTTGTTCAGTTTCCACAGAATGCCATTTTACATGTACTTTAAAAGGAGAAATTATTTTGCTGTATTGCCAAGCAACTGAAGACAGATGGATTAGAACCCTTGAATGTAAAAAGGTGCAGATGTGTCGCAAAACAATTTGTACGCGCATTTATTTACTATCGATTGGCGAACATTCCAAATGTGAATCTCTTGTCTAAATAATTTTGTTCACAATGTTCAATTTTTTTATCACTTTTATCGCCAACATTACCCAAAGGGAACTACTGATCTGATTTGATTAATTAATAGAGACGGATGTGATAGAAACAAATTCTGTAGAATTATTTACAGATGATTTGGTAGACCGATGCAACGATCTGAGTCAATATGTAACATGATATAATTAATACAGTGGAAACAATTAGTTAATTGTTTAATTAAGTTCTGACTTGATATATGTACTCATTGACAATACAAAGATAACGATTCCACACTTATCAATGCAGAGATCTAATCTATTTTTTCACCTAAAGTTACCCTTGCTATAACACACACACCCCTTCCCCCTGAATAATCTACCTACTCGAGATTCTCCTCTGACACTATAACACAGAAACAAAGATAAAATAAACCGATAAGATGTCTGTAATTTCAGGAATAAAAATTACAATTCCATAATCATCTTATCTTTCGGGTTATAACACTCGAGTTGTTCTGCAAGCACATTATCAGTTGTCTGTTGGGAATGATTTCAATTTCCAATGTCGGTATGAATTGATTTTCTTGATGTGAATTGCGCGTTAAGATAATTCGACCTCTAACTTTAGTCAAGAGAAAAATAAATGGAATATTCGCCTTGTGTCGGGAATATCGACAAACAGAGTCGGATACAGACAGCATGTGCATTAAGAGAGACGATGCATGAACCCTCAGCCATAATATTTAGAATAGATAAGTGAACACGAGTCTCCTACTGGTAAAAAAGGTATGTAAATTATGTCTTTATCTGCACTCTCGTGTCATCACAATAGAAACGCTCTGCGGTTTGGTCATAGGTCAAGGGCAACGTGAAATACAATAATGCTCAACAATTGTGGGTTAGGTTGTGTAATTACAAAGACGGCAGGTGGCATGTGCAACTCACGTGCACCTTATAATGATCATAACGATAAGAATGATCAGAATGTGTACATTTCCATAACGCCACGAACACAAAGCATGCATACAGCATGTAAATTGCTCACCCCGATTAACGGATCAGTGTACATTCTCAACTTCCTTAGGAGAATACAAGCCATGCTGCCTGATTTATAAAATGACATTTTAGTCAAACAAAAATTTGCATGGAAATATGTTGTTTGATTGATGTTTAACGCCGTATTCAACAATATTCCAGCTATATGCAAATAATCGAGTCTGGACCGGATAATCCAGTGATTGACATCATGAGCATCGATCCACGCAATTGGGATACGATGACATGTATAAACCGAGTGGGCGAACATGGAAATATGTACCAAGACATATACTTTGAAACAATTATGTTACCCAACTTATGATAGGGATATCTGTATCATATATCTTATTATAATAGAGAAGAATATTTACAATATATTGTATTGAAAATTGAGTTGACGTTGTTTTAAGCCACCTCTTGTCTCTGTGTATCCTGTTTGTTTCTATTTCACTTTCAATCACTATTTACGTGAATCCATTCTAATCTGGGAAGCTAAATGTGATCGTCGATAAACCTTTTAAATTGTTGTTACCAAATGGGTAATTTCGATCCACAGAAGAATTCTACTCTTCGTATGTTAATTGAATATCACACAGGTCAAGAGCATTGAAATAGGATATCGATCTGTGAGTCTCAGACACATTGGTGGTCAGTACATGTAAACAACAGTCCAGACCGTCGAGGAAATAATGACATATACTGTAACTAGGTCACATATGAATGATGATTTTGCCACAAACCAGATGATGTTCCTCCAAAACAGTCATAATGGCCATCTGATCCTCATAAAATGGCTTCGTTACGCCAACATTGGATCCTGGAGCGTATTTGTAGACTTGGAGCGTAATTTAGAATGTGGTGATTCATGGCGTATCTGCTCAAGAAACAAAAATGATATCGTTTGAAAAGAATCCAAATCGAAAATTACCGTTTTGTCATATCGGACTCAGTTGTAGGCATTTGAAGACTGGGCAAATTTCAAATTAGTCAAATTCAAGTGCACACTGAACCATTGACCGGGGTGATAATAACAGCGCGATGTTCATGCATTACAAATGTCTATTATTAATATTGTTGTTGTTGTTGTTGTTGTTGTTGTACCATAGAAACGTGAATGGCAAATGAAAGGAAGCACGTTTATGCTAGGCGAAAGATGTGATCGTTACTCTTCCAGGTACAGCTGTTCGTTTCAAAATCGGATACACAGTGCTGACGAAGCATTTTTTCATGTTAAACAGATGTTCAGTGAAACGCAAGTGCTAACGCTCGCTTTGGCTGGATATTTAAATGCCAACGGGAATTACAAGGAGATACCGACTGTACATGTTTTTCTACAACTTATGTTTTTTTACAGTTAATGAAATATCGCCCTGTTAGGAATTTCATGTCATAGTCTAATGCTTGTCGGAAAAAAACAGCTAAAATGTCATCTCTTGAATCGCTCTGTGGCCTAGCTGATGTGTGTCATCGAGAATCGATGGCGGCTGTCGGTGCTCATTATTTCGGTCACTGGTTGCTGTGTCATTACTTGATTATTTACAGGCCGGAATATCCGTGAGTGTGGCGTTAGAGAAAATCCACACTAACACTAATTGTACGTCTATCAAAACGCCCGGAACACGACATCCTTGTCATCATACGAAATGATTGCTTTGCTCAGATCTCTGTTCCAGTGCTCATAAGCTGATAGCAGCTTAAGGAATTTCATTGGTATTAGATATGCCTAACTGGACCGTTACAAAGGCTGTCATTCGAGATGCGCCTTAGCAAGTAAATATGCGGCATTCATATCCATGCAAGTTCTTCATTGACTCAAGAATTGTAACTGTTACCAAGTTGCTTTAATACTGAATCGAATAAAACTGTCAACTTTATGTCCTGAATAAATATCATATTTTCAATAATTGAATCGTAACTGATGTTTAACAACACATGAACTTTATGCAGTATTCGGTTGTCATGGAAACTGATGCACGGCTGGCGTCAAGTGTTTCTTTTCAAACATAAGGGATAATTTGATTGTGACGAAAAAAACTGATTGGTGCTCCAATCATGGGCCTTTTGGAAAAAAATATTTGCGCAAAGAGCCTAAAGAGGATTATTACTTTAGGAAAATTAGCAATCGGATTGGGAACAATTGTAATGGCCTCAGAATTGAAATAATGGCGTAAAGCGCAAATACAGAAGAGTTTGTGAAAATGTTGTCATCAATGTAAATGATGTAGAACCGAAACTACTTTAGTTAATAACTTTTCACTCCGTTACATTTCATCCTCTAAATGTGATTGGTACCCATTTTAAAGGTAGAAGGTCATGTTTGGAGAGATGATTTTCTCTCTCTCTCTGTCTCACTTTCTGTGTGTGTGTGTAGGTGTGTTTGTGTGTGTGTGTGTGTGTGTGTGTATATATATATATATATATATATTTATAGATATAGATTATATTCATATATATATATATATATATATATATATATATATAATGTGTGAGAGAGAGAGTGAGAGAGAGAGAGAGTTGGTATACTAATGTATATCTCACATCGATTCTCAGTGATGGTAAAATTGTAAAACCACATTTCGCTCAGGTTCCCCCTTCTGGACCCCGCGCGTGTTTCTTAAACTTTACATACACCACAGTCATGTGAGTTCTTCCCCGGCAAGCTTCATTTCTGTATGAGGTTTATTGCAGTGGTACAGCCGACAACAGCGTAAAAGCTCTTTACCTCATCCCATTTGAGTACATGTTATACATACTTCATTCATTTAAAACCATGCACTCTCAAAATGAAATACGTGGACCCGGCAGTTCCGATTAACAGCCAAACTCCGTTACCCCTTTGCCATAAATATTGAGATGAGGAAAACCATTTAACGTCCCTGTTGCAAAAAGCAGGCATCCGGAAAGCAGTTGCTGGTTTAAAAGGTTCTTTGGGTTGCCCAGTTCCGTCCACGGTATGATGCCCGATCTGACTGTGAATTCATGCCAGTGTGTGTATGATGTTCAACCCTGCATACCCCGGTCACCACGTCCACAAGGCATTGAGGAGCAGAGTCATTTGAGTCAGGCTTTTGTTTACGGAAAGTCGTTATGAAGTCAATCATCGAGGAATAATCCACAAATGACCAGTGTCACGAAAGCAGAACGTTCCTCCTAATCTCTGCAACTTGAGACGGTGCTTGTCGCTTATTAGTTCTTATTGACAAAACGAAAAAAACACAATAGCTCACATCAGTTTCAATTTGATTTTAGCCCGTGATTTAGAAAGCCACTTAACGATT